GGTTTGGAAAACCTTACCTTTTTAAAGTATAGAATCTAGAATTTTACAGATTTTTTTAATAAGCAAAGGAAATTCTCTATTTTCTATATGTATTTAACCATTTTCTGTTGTTTTCTTCAAAAAAAATTTTTTTCAAAACCTTTTCCTTATTCAACGGAAAATACGTTGAAACTGTTCGCAATCAAATATCATTAAAAAAACATTTATGTCAAAAAAAGGAATATCTCCTTCTAGGATCTTGTCCGCAGACTTCTCGACGTTGATGCATCTAAGAGGCCGACCGCCAAACAGATCCTTCAACATCCATGGATCACCCATAGAAATAGCATGCCAGCGAATACCATTGTGAACAACGTCTACAACGTCGAATCTGTAAAGGTGAATATCGATTTATGACGTCATATTGTGCGAAATTTCTGGTAAAAATCGATATTTTAGGGAGCTTTGGAGCAAACTTACCGTGCTTTAACCACAACAAGTGCCGTAAATCTACGTCCAGTGAACGCTTCAGCGTTAGCGAAACGTCGCCTTACGCAATTGCCAAAAATGGGCATCTGCTCGTCATGAATGCAAATTTCAGATTACTGTAATATCATGTTGATTCTCCTACAAAGCTTTTAAGATTAGCATAATATAAATTGTTCAATAATTAAAATAATGTTAAACTGCCGGGGAGATTTATAATGTGAATAATGGCCGTATGGGTATATCTGGGACGTCCCATATTCAATATATGGGAGGCGTGACCGTCCCCAATTACGTATTTCAATGTGTTTGCATTGAGCATTCCTTTTGACGAGTCTGTGATGAACCGATTCTCCACATTTTTTTGCATGCTAAATTTTATAACATTGTATATTGTTCTTTTGTTTCTCTTCATCTCGCTGCCTTCTGCAGTTTCTATCTGCTTTTTTCTAAGCAATCGATTATCGATTGATGAATAGGTTTGGTGCCTCTGAATGTACACATTACTACTATGAAGGAGCTTTACAAATGACGTATCATAGGCGCGAGGTGTTTTTTCCACTTTTTTTTTGTTTGTTTTTTTTGGGAGAAGGAAAAGTCTTCCTCATGTTTTCTCCAAAAAACACCAGCCTTTTCATTTGCTTAGGCAATGTTTAATGATGCGTTTACTGTTGTTTTTTTTTCTTTTGTATTTACTGACTTAATTGATAAATAACTTCTATTACTGTATATTATGTTCGTATAAAAATTCTAACCCTTTTGTGTGTTGTATCAATATTGCGTAAGTTTCGGCTTACCAATATCGCATTGAAATGATGAAAGGTAAAAACATTTATGGAATTCAATGCGTACATTTTACGTTGCCTGTCGTCTTATGCTGCTACCACTCATATGAAATTTTTCATCTGTTTTTTCTTCCAATTTTTACAAATTCTGCACCTGGTGGGTGTGTTTGAAAGCTCTAATATACAGTATGGTAGCAGCTCCATCCACCAAATTTCCCCTAACTTAATCCAATCTTTGAATTTGAAAATAAATTTTGGATCATCAAAATTGAATTTTTCGCTGCACCGATCACTTATCTTCTTCATACTTTAGCTTGA